AGCAGGTACTGCGGACAAGAGCACTCGGTGTTCGGTAAGATACGTCGGCGGTCGATACCAGAAATCTTGTCGGATACTTGACGCAGACGACGCAAGCCCAAACCCGCCAGCCGACTCCCGTCTTGCAAGCTCAAGCCACTTCCTTTAACATGCGATAGAAAGGGTGACAGATACAGTTTGCCGCAGGAGGAGACCATGTGCGTCGACGATGAAGGCTGGATAACAGTTGGGAATGAGCAAGCTTATTGATTAGCGTAGAGTACAAGATACGCGCTATATGTTCTATCAGATAGGGTCTGGTCGCTCTTTCCTGGAAGTAGTCTGCTCCTTCCTTATCGAGCGCCCAAAGCGAATGTTGTCCGAATGATTAGTAGCAGTTGGAATAGTGATCATAAGCTATAGAACCATAGGTATCTATAGGCTGTTATCAAGCCTTGCTACTGGTTTCCAGTTTGTCACGCAGATGGAAGCTGCGATGAACGCCTTGCAGTAAAGGATGATTGATGCAATTCTACCTACTTAGTTAGGTACGCCAAGCCGCTAGCGCACGCATATTGTGAAGGGATTATATTCGACTTTTTGGGAAATTGAACCTCACAATAGAACGAGCCTCGTGGCAAGCGTTCGTTCCACATTCGGTGCCCTGTTTCGGCAGGAACGACTGGCCTCGTGGCCCAATGGCAAGGCGTCTGACTACGATGGATTGATATCTTATATCACATCAAAATCATTGGTATCAGGAGATTCCAGGTTCGACCCCTGGCGTGGTCATTACTTTTGCTATTCACAAGGCTATCGATCACGATAGAGTGATAGCATGACTTTTTTGCTCATTAATGGCTGGCTGTTGCTAAGATTGTACCCTTGAGCATGCTGATCTAACGAGATATGATTCAGGCAGTGTAGCTGGCGATAGGCAGGTTTTCACTTACTAGGTTTGATGGCCACGCCTCATGAATAGGCTCTCAGATCTTCTATCGTTGTTATGTTGGGTGCATTCCATAATCCGTCAACTTCGGATGTCCTCGAGCGTTCTGAGGTTTGTTTCACGGTACCATCCATTCTTCAGAGGTCGAGGGGAAACAGAGAAGAGATATAATGTGATAGATACGTTACTCCGTGGGAAGCAGTCGAACTGTAGTCGGGACGGGAGACGATTGCGATTCGCATATATGGTCGGACCATAAGGATCGTACTATGTTGCCGAGCCTCCGCATTCTCGTGCTCTGCAACTCTCACTTCATGACTCTCCAGTCTCCATGGTCCCCACATAGTCCTCCTGCGATCCCATATGGTGTCCAGCTTTAAGGCGGATCAGGACTGTCCAGCGACATGTACGCGAGGCCGATGTCACGATGCAAGTCAACAGCGCGCAGGCAATGCATTTCCAGGTCTTGGCAGTATGATGAGCTATTCAGGTCTTATTCGACATTAGGAAGATCGCGACTAACACAAACATCTACTCAAGTTCACCATGCTTGACAAGACGTCACGGTACGTCCTCACTGAGACATCATCCGCAAAGACGTGGATCTTTCATGATGTAGGATCTAGACGAGCAACTGCACAAGACGGTAGACTCCTCTTCTCCATATCTTGAGATGACGATCAATGAAGCAGACAGAATGCCGTTGTACTTCAGCAAGCATAAGTAGACACGAAAGACAGCAATATGTTCCTGCATCAACAGCCGCTTCCACCGTCTTATTTGATTCTCAAACATCCGCCGTTCAATCTCACACACACTCTCTCTCTGCAATCTTCCTCTTCTTCGAAACGCGCTCCTTCAGCATTCTCCTTGCAGGCTCAACCTTCCTCTTCCGCCTGGCCACCGCCCTCATCCCCGAACTCGCCCCCTTCAAAGACTCACTCATGCTTTCCCTCATCAAGTCCCAGCAAGATGTCGCATGGGCCCAGCTCAACACCGACACACGCCTCGCCACCTTTGACAACGAAGAACGGCTAGCCTGGGAGCCTCAGTTCCGACAACTGAACGACCTGACCGACTCATTCGGCAACATCGTTCCTGATGGGTAAGTCCTACTCCTACCTTCTGATTCATCACGTCCCAATACTCACCATCCCGTGCCCGTAGCAGTGCAATGCTAACGCCGCCACCCTACATAGCATCGCGTTCCACGGCCGGGAAAGCCTCAACGCAACCGAACTGTCCGCGCGCCAATCTAAAACAGTCTGTTGCGGCTCCGGCAGCTGGGTCCGCGCCATCACCCTCTCTGGCATCTTCGGCTAAGTATGTGGATCCTTCGACTTCGGCGTCGGACGCGGCGTGCGCTAGGTCGTTGAGCGAAACGACCTGCAAAACGCCTTTGGTGAGCGCATGAAAGTGGTGTTGACTCTTGTCTCGTGGGCCGTGAAGACGTGGTCGAGCGCTGCGTGTGGAGGCGCGATGTCCAAGGTTGTCGAAGATTGGTGTGCGTCTAGGGTTGGGAGTTTGCCGGCGGAGACGAGGGGTGGGGAGGCGAAGGATGCGAGTGGGAATGAGTTTCATGTTGATCCTACAACTTACAGTTACAACTGTTAGAGGGCGGTCTTGGATGAATAGAAGCTCAGCCGTAAAGAAGTTCTTCAAATCAGGACCTAAGCGTGATATGCACGATTCAACGTGAAGTATGAAGACTGAGAACGTGCCTATATGTCGGTCTGAGATGGTGAAACGGATAGATGTACTAAGAATGAAATACCAATATATACATTAGTCATGTCACGACAGTGTACTCATCTTAGCACAAAGCTCTCGAGCAACCTAGTCGAACCTCTTGATGAAGGCAGCATCCGCTGGACTCAGCTCCAACGCGCTCCTCGGCTTCCATTCTTCATTCACCCCAAGGCTCCTCTTCGCAGCACCGGTGCTCGCCGTAGAGGGAGTAAGATTGCCACAATCAGGCGTCACCAATTCTTGGGCAAAGACATCCGCGCTCCAAATCAGGACACCATTGGTCCATCCAAAGCCTTGCACAACCTCGTACTCGCCACCTCCACCACGCGCATTCGTAGAGTTGTCGGCATACTTCTCGAACATGATGCCAGGGCTGGTGGTATCAAGGTCTGTTTCGCCATCGACGACACCACCGGTCTGGCGCCATGTACAGAAAGCCGAGTCGACGTAGCGCTGGGCAAGGCGGA